ACATAGCGTGAGCGTGTTTTACACAGACAGACAGGCGGATATAGCCAAATCGACACAGAATTTGATAAGGACCGGAATGTAAATACTTTTTTGGGTCTTATATGAATATTTCTTGGTGTTACACACGGAATGACAAACTTATACATATATAGTAAGAGTGTTATATTTGAAAATGCCGAATTTTATATACTCACCATCAAACCCTATGCCGTAAATGGAATGCTCCCCTTATAAACATTAGATTGATATTTGAGATAGGGCTGACGTTAATTATGGACACATCACTTTCGGATTAGGAAAATATAAACACTAAATATTTTTGTCCAACTATGAACATATGAGCAAAATCAAATATTTTTAAGAATTGTTGAAACTGAATTAAAATACCTCGTATTTGCGTTAATCTTTTAAAATAAGTAAATGTTTTGATACATTTCGGTATAATATACCAAAACACACGTATGTCCATAATTTCAGACCACTAGCTTATTACCTCTCAACTTTATGAATATTTAAACTTTTAAAAATTAAAAAAATGCTTTGAAAATTACTAGATTTTTTTCATAAATTTCAAAACTGTACTCTTAGTTCATAACTTACAGACCTTTATAAAGAAGAGTCACAAGACTTTGGACATTTAAAAATCCTTATAATAATTTCATTAATACTTTTAGGTGCAAATAAATAGGGTTGTAAACAAATGTCAGTCAAATTAATCTTAATTAAATTTAAGTAACGGTATATAATAGGTGCAGTAATTTCACGCAATTTAAGGTATATTTTGCTGATGTCAGAGATCTAAGGACAGAGCAGGACCTTTACAAACTTGTCAAGAATATGCGTAAATATTTTAAAAATGTGTCATTTTAAATGTGACATTTATAGTTATTTACGAATACAGTTGTAATATCGCGTAAACTTAATCTCTTTATAATTAACACCACCTTCAGAAAATGATTTGACCGCCCATATATGTATATATGGGCGTTGAGGTGGCCTTATATGGGAGGTAGGGTCAATAATGGACCGATTCTCATAAAATTCGGTAGAAAGATTTGTTCTCGTGATAAACTTACTTACGTCGAAATTCAGCGCTATACTCGTATTTTCTAGCCAGTAGTTAGCCTTGAAGTCATTTTCTGAGGGGGACCTTATATGGGGAGTAAAGTAAATTTTGGACCGATCCTCATAGAATTTGGTAGAGTTTTTAACTTATAAGAAACTAACTTATGTGAAATTTCATCGCAATACTCTTATTATTAAGGCAGTAATGAGCGTTAAAATAATTTTGTGATGGGGAGCTTATATGGGGTATAGGGTAAATTAGATAGATTTTTGCCCGTAAGAAACTTTCTTATATCGAATTTTAGCGATAGACTCGTATTTTTAAGTCAGTAATGGTCGTTCAAGTCATTTTTGGAGGGGACTATATAAGGGGTTTGGTAGAGAGTATTTGGCTCATATGAAACTTATTTATGTGGAATTGTGCGATAGCCCCCATACAAGTAGAGTATAGCGATACTCACTCTTGTATGGGGGCTATGCGAAAGCGTGGACCGATATTGCCCATTTTCAATACCAAACAAACCTTACCTATAAGAAATATTTGTGTAAAAATCTTATAAAGAAATATTTATGGAAAATCTTATAAAGAAAGATTTTATTCTTTAGCTTTTATTTTATTCTTATGTTACTTTTATATTTTTTTATAAACCTGAAAAAAAATTAAAAAAGGAGTGCAGGGAATATAAAAAGTGGGTGTAGGGAAAAAAGGAATTTTTTTCTAATAAGCGTAGGGATTTTTGAAAAATATCATAACATGTCGCAACATGTTCGAAAGAAATTTCTAATTCTTTACAACATCACATCACATTTGCCGTAATAAAAACTCTTAACTTGGAAAAAAACAGATTTAGAGGAGAGAATTAACAGTCATGGTTCATTGTAGATTACAAGCCCATATGAGGCCTAGTTAATCTAGAAATACATTTGGTTTCTCAACCTTTATTCGACTAAAACCTTATGATAAATGTAGAACAAAAGATGAGTTGTACGGAAGCTAACAGATACTCTTCAGATACTCTGAAAGGTTGACTGAAATAAAAATGATTGTATGAGATATTCTTATTATCTTAATACTAATAATACTCACTAAAGTAATTAGTAATTAAAATAAAGGAATTTTAGCCAATTATGAAGACAAATATTAAATCCATTTTGTTTTGTCACATGCATTTTTTGAATATTACACAAACAAGTAAACATTTATAGTCGCGCATTGCCGACCATATGATATACTACCCAATGATTATGTTAAAAATGCTGATTATTTTTTAATAATATTTAATTTTTACCTAATTAATAAATATTTTAACTATTTGTGAACAAAAGAGGGATTTTCTAAGAGAGGGGTTAAATGGGGGCAGGGAATTTACGTCTACATTAGTTACACAACGCGACAAAAATAAATACCTGGGAAGTGATACTATTTGCTGAAAGGTGGATCCGAGTAGAACAAGAATATGTTTTTGAAATTTGCCAAACACCCCCAAAATCTTGAGTTACGGGTAAATAACCGGTTTTTCGTACCTTTAAGCATTTAAAAGTCAGTAACTTAGATGCATCTCAACCGATTTTAAGTTTAAGTTGAGGCCTTTATAAGGACATATATGATGTTTATGTAACCTGGAAAGGTACGAAAAAATGTTTTTTTTAAGCCGTAACTCAAGATTTTGGAGGTTCTACTCGGATCCAACTTTCAGAAAAATAGTATCACTTCCCAGGTATTTAAGTTTTCGCTTATTTTGTGTCACTGTGTTATTTATGCAGAATATTATCGTGATATTAGTGTTTATAAGTGAATTTTGACCATCAAGTCATTTTCTGAAGGGGACTTTAAATGGGGGATATGGTTAAATGAAGCCCGATCATTACGAAAATCAGCAGTATCATTAAGACTTATATAAAAGTAAGTTTTGCCGATTTTTGAAGTGATACAAGAACATTTAACATATTTATGAGCTCCAAAGCCAAAGAATAAACAAGAAGTGAAACGCTGTCATTTTTTTACAACAATAACATTACGCTCTTCTCACAGACGAGTGCTGTGTAAATCCAACACATATGTAAAAATTTTATTCTCTCTCCAAACTTCAAAACTTTTTCGCGAAAATTTGAGGATAATAGCACTTTGAAATATTTTTTATCACTTAACATTATATTTTATAATTTTTTTGCACAATTTAAACACATTTAATATCCAGAAAATAATATATTTTTTACAAACAAAAAAAATATTTTTTATTTTTTGACATTGAATTTTTGTTGGTTGAAATTAAAACTAAAAAAACAATGTTGTAAATTTTCGTATGGTAAACGAAAAAGATATTTCAAATAAATAATTTATTTTTTCAATATTATAGATTAAAAAACAAATAGACGTGTTTATAAAATGTTTGTAGATAAAATATGTGGAAAATATCTTAAGAAACCTTTCAAAGTATAAATTGAAATGTAATATTTTTTTTCAATATTTTTCAATACGATTTTTTGCAACTATGTTGACTTGAGAATTCTACTAATACATTCTTAGAGTTAGGTACCGGATGACAGTAGACTTAGGTACTTTTGACAACAGTTTCATTTATTATTTATTCTTTGTCCAAAGCCTTATACGGGGGTACGTTTGTATGGGGGCTATACGAAATAATGGACCGATTTTGAATTGGCTTCGTCCTACTCTTCCAAGAGAAGAGTATGGCCAAATTTCATCAAATTATCTTGAAAATTGCGACCTGTAGAGTGGGCACAAGATTTACATGGACACACAGACGGAGACAGAAAGTGATTCTGAGTCGATTGATAGGAGCAATATTTTTGGGTGTTACAAACATCAGCACAAACGCATAATACCCTCCCCACTATAGTATGTAGGGTATACAAATTTATTTTCATACTCTTCACCTTCGTGAGAAGGGTATACTACATATGGGTAATTACGTGTCAAGTGATCCAACTTTTAAAATCGATCTCATCCAATTTTTTTTTTTGGTAACAGCGAAAAAATAGCTATCTAAAGCCCTTTGGGCAATTTTTGGTAGCATCAATAGGTGAAAAGTTACACTCATTTAAAAAAAACTGTATGATCAAAATATCCAACTCATTCATTAAAATCCGTTCACACAAATCCGGGACAACCTCTGACAATTTTATCAAAAAAGGGAACAACATTGCTTATTGGAAAAAAAACTTATGTTTGGGCGTGTGTTGGTTTTATTGCTTTGTGTATTTTTTGTGTTTTGTTTCGATTGTCGTAAGTTGTTGTTGTTTTATTGTTTTTTTGTTATTGCTAAAGAAAAATAAAATAAATTGAAATTTTATAAAATTTAACTTTTTTAAACACACTAAGGTGAAGTTTATATAAGATTCGTCAAGGGCGAATGAAGAAGTCATACTTGTTTTGAATTGCTGTTGCTTACAACTTCATGTGAATAAAAAAGTGTTATTATAAAATTTGGAGTTAAAGTCCTTTATATGAATATTTTTTATAAAAGCAAAAATAATAATTTTATTACATAAATATGTAACATTTTACGTGTGTCCACTATGTTTTGATCGATAATATCATGCTCAAAATCATACATACATAGCCTACATTAGAAATCGATAGCATAGATAGCATACATTAGAAATCGTGGCAATTTACATTTTTTATTTAATTTTTATTGCCTATACTGTAAATATTTTATATATATATGTATATTCTTTCACCACCTTATTCACGAAAAAAAAAAATTTTATTTTATAAACAGTTTATAAATTAGATTTTGTATGGAAATTTGGTTTTATAAACCTTTTAAAAAATAAAAATGCTGTTTGTGAATAAGGGGGTTAAAATTTAATAATTTGTTCTAGGTGTGAATTAATAAAAAAGTTCAGGAAAAGGAAAACAATAATGCCAACATAAACAAACTTCGTAAGTAAGTAAAGTAATTAGTGTGTGGTATCAAACATTTTTATTAGATTTACATATAAAATTTTACACTCAATTGTCCTTTGGTTACTTGCTTATTATGTATGTATGTTATCTACAATAATGTAGAATATATTATGGTAATTTTACAAAATTAACTTAAGACATTTTATACAATATGTGGTTAGAAGTTCTTAAATAGTAGCTTTTTAATATGCAAAATATGGCTCCTTATATAATTGATGTCAATGACTTCTCCTGGGACATGTTTATTCGGATAACTTATGAAGATCTGCGTAGTTGACTATAGCTCTATGTAGGAACTCGTATTGTGCCTGAAATATAAAAAAAACATAAGTTATTCATAAATTGTTCATATTTTGTTATGTTGCACTATGCAACAAATTTTGGGTCATCGAATATTTCCCGAATGAGACAAACGGCAAATGAAAGTAGACAATTAATTGACTAAATTCCCTAAAGGGTTTTACAAAGTTAGCTCGTATTGCTAATTAATATGCATTTTAAACTCTGCTATTTTTAGGAAAATTTTCTCATATTTAATATCAAAAAAAAAATTGAGCATGACCCTCTCCGAATTTGATGAAATTCATACATACAAAATTAATAGTTCTCCATTTTTTTTTGATTTTGACTGTGTGCCAAACGGCAGCAAAGTTCTATGGTAAAATAAAATTTTCTTATGGTGGAAAATGCTATCACTTTTGCTGTGCCAAACGAAATCTTTTTTGATTACATTAAATTTTGACAATTGTCACTAATTTCACAAGAAAATCTGCATTTATTTTAATAAAAGAAGCACTTTTATTGATTTTTTTTATTTTTAAAATAAATTTCTACAATCACAAATGTATTACAAACTAAAATTATAAAATATTTTATTTTTTGTATTTTCAAATTTTTCTTTTCAATTGTCAAAAATTTATGTAGCCCGATGAGCTAGTAAAATTTTATTCACCTCATATCTATCAAAAATTTACATTTTCAAGTAAATTGTTACCGATTGGCACACACTCTTTATCGAGGTTCAAAATTAATTTTTTTAAAGCTACGCTCACACTTAACAAATATTTGACGTTTTTTATCAAATATTTGTTGGCTGTAATGTGAACACAAAATATTTTTGAAGAGCAAACAATATATCAGCTGTTTTTCGTGAAACATTATTATTTGTCAACCTACAAATATTCTCCCAATGTAAACACAACATGAACACCAAACATGAAATATTTTTGTTTAACTTAATTTCTGCCTAAAAACAAAAAATTAAATACATTTTTAATTTAATAATGTGCTTAAAATGAGTATTTCTGTTTTGACGTTTTGTTTGAAGAAACAAAGCCAAACACAATTCAATACAAAGACTGTGTGCCAAACTGCAGCAAAGTTCTATGGTAAAATAAAATTTTCTTATGGTGGAAAATATTATCATTTTTGCTGTGCCAAACGAAATCTTTTTGATTACATTAAATTTTGACAATTGTCACTAATTGCACAAGAAAATCTGCATTTATTTTAATAAAAGAAGTTCTTTTATTGATTTTTTTATTATTGAAATAAATTTCTACAATCACAAATGTATTATAAACTGAAATTATAAAATATTTTATTTTTTGTATTTTCAAATTTTTCTTTTCATTTGTCAAATATTTATGTAGCCCTATGAGCTAGTAAAATTTTATTCACCTCATATCCATCAAAAATTTACATTTTCAAGTAAATTGTTACCGATTGGCACACACTCAAATAGTGAAAATTTGTTTGCTTGGTGCTCACATTACAACAAATAATTTCGTAAAACAATTGACAGATAAAACAGTAAGAAAAACAAGACTTTGTTTGCAGACAAATAGGAGTATAACAAGAACAGTTAATTCGCAACCAAACCAAAAGCCAAAAATATATATATGTGTTTATATTTACTAGAAAGATAATCATTGAATAATATTTATTCTAAAATTTCATTTAATATTGTTTTTCATAAAAATTTTACCACAAAAAAAAGAAAAAGAAATACAAATTACATTCCATCACCTGGATAATAATCTTGTCGCGATGTGGTGGCTTAGTGCTGGCTGTGGTTCTCTGACATGCTGTTAAACTCTGTTGAGCTTTCCCGCATGACAGCGAACTTAAAAGCCAGCATGACCAAAGGTTATCCTCCCTATACCCTGTTTTAATCCCTTCATTTTCCCACTATACCATTCCGCAATTGTAAGGTTAAGGTGGTTGGAAGCAGTGAGAACCTGAATGGCTAATTAGTGGTAAAAGAAGATCCGGTGCTACGACACGGGACGGTTGTAATGCCTAGTCTAGTCCATATATGCTGTCACTGCATGGATCGTCTTTCCCTTTACTAAGCCAAGTCTGGCGAACAATTGGGTAAAATCGAGCAAGAAGGAAGAGTCAGAAAACATCTTTAAAGCGAGATATGCCAAGACACAGTTCATTCTAGACAAGATGAGGAAGATTGCGTCGAGTACGAAGCTGTGGTAGACGAGTACCGTAAGTTTATGGAAGCCGTACCCAGCACTTCCAAAGCAGCTGCAGATGAAAGGACCAAACGGAACCGATCTCAGACAGAGACGGGTGAACCGTCCAAGAGGAGGAAGGTTACAGATAGCAAAACCGCTCCAGAACTTGCTGCACCCGCAGTCATATCAGCCAGGAGACCATTCAACGAAGTGGTGAAGGACCATCTCCTGATGGCACTGATGAACGACAAAGATGGAACACCTCCTAGCCAGTGAAGTCAACATAGCACCTCGTTTTGACTCCGGTGAGATACATCGGGGATACAGGGAGATCAAATGTATGGACGAGTTCTCAAAGGACTTCCTCAGCAAATGCATCACTAAGATAAGCGACGCATGGAAAAGCTTAAGCCTTAAGCTTATCCCCGCTCAGGAAATTCCGATGAGACCTCGTGCACGCATCTCGTTACCAAAAATTACCACTGAAACACACAAAATGTTGGAATGCCTGAAGCGTCAGAATCCCAACATCCACATGGACGACTGGTCCATCATTCGCGCTGAACAAGGCGACGGCCTCACGTGCCTCATCCTGGCTATCACAGAGTCGGGCTCTGCACCTCCCGCCGAAGTAAGCGACCTCCTGGCCCAAATATGGGCATCTGACGACATAATCATGGGCTGTGATGCCAACTCCAGGCATTCGATATGGGGTAGCAGCGAAAATAATGAAAAGGATGAGTCATTATTCAATTTCATTAATATTAACAATCAAAGTATATGTAATTCTGGTAACACACCAACATTCATTTTTCCAAGTACGGATAATTATAATGGATGGTAGGAGGTACTACACATTACACTCATTCACTCTTATTATGTAAGTCGGAGTCACGTCGATTTTCTCTCGAATTTTCAAAATGGTATCACATATGTCGATTTTCTTCAGAAATATAAGTATGGTAAAAATCTATTACTAAAAACGGTATTATGTATGTCGTATTTTAATGGAAAATTCGACAGAAAGTGTCGATGTGTATTTTACTGGTGACAAAAACTTTCAAAGCTATTGGCATCAGTTCCCGTAGCTCAAATTTGCTGAAATTTGGAAGTTATGAGTACACCAGAGGAACATATAATATAATGTTCGAATATTCGAAGTTAAGTTTGAAAATACGAAATAAAGTTCGAAAAATTTTTTATGGTTTAAAAATATTCTCTGAATCATAAAAACTCCAAAAAAAAAAAGAAAATCTGAATGTTCGAACATTTGTTCGAAAATGTTTTGAGTGTACTTAAATTGACAATTATGATTACTATTGTGGCAATATAGTATTATGTTCGAAAATTCCAAATTAAGTTCGAAACATGTTTAATGGTTTTAAAATAATCTTTGAATACTAAAAATAAAAAACTTCGAAAATTCGAACTTATGTTCGAAAATCTATAAAAGGTAGTGTTCGAATATCCGAAATTAAGTTCAAAAAAGTTTACAATAATCTATGGATTAAAACCATTATTTAATATCGAAAATTCGAACTTTTGTTCGGAATACAAAAAATAATGTTGGAAAATAATTTACGCTATTAAAATAATATCTGGTCATTAAAACAATTTATGGTTCTTATTAACTCAATGTGCTAATATATAAAGGTCAAAAAACTATTAAAAATACTGAATATCGAGACAATTTTTACTATTTCCTCTTTTTTTCATCAAAAGAAATATGCCGCAATACTTAAAATTTTCAATAAAATAAATTATATAAAAGTTTTCAAAATAATCTACTACAAAAAAATACTCATGTCGAACTTGATACATAATACCAATAAAATTTAAATTCGACTACGACGATTGTCGATTTTCGACTACGACATACATAATAAGGGTAATTAATGAAAAATCTAAAATATCAGTTGATAGGTGGAGAGTATCCAATAAAAAGTCTTTCTCAGACCACAATTGGATTCTCTTCGATATAAGATTACATTAATGAAAAATCTAAAATATAAGTTGATATGTGGAGAGTTCCCAAAAAGGGGTCTTTCTCAGACCACACTTGGTCAGAATCCTCGGCAGAATCTCTTGATATCCTACTGGTTACTCATTTCCCCGGCTGCAAAGATGCTGTCAAGGAAATGACAGTAGGACTCTATCGTGAATCAATAACAATATAATCTACCATGATAGAATCTCATGGGCGATTGATAGTTTTTCCCTTTCAAATCAAATGCTAAGGATGTTACAAAGTGCAAAATAATATATCATCCCATGGCTTCATAGAATATATACGCCTAGCCTCTCTCTCTCAACCATGTTCCGGTAAACTGGAGAAAGGTTAAGGTCGTTTTTTTCCTAAAGCTGTCAAAATGAGTCTTGAGAATGCGAAAGACTTTCGTCCAATTAGTCTTTCATCTTTTCAGCTCAAAACGCTGGAAAGACTCATCGACTCACATATAAGGAAATGACTATAGAGCTCATCAAGGCTTCCAACCAGTTAACATCCCTACCTTAAAGGACGATCTACAGAGACAGCTTTACATGAGACTAGACTATAGACTAGACTATAGACTAGACTATAGACTAGACTAGACTATAGACTCGACTATAGACTCGACTATAGACTCGACTATAGACTCGACTATAGACTAGACTATAGACTAGACTATAGACTAGACTATAGACTAGACTATAGACTAGACTATAGACTAGACTACAGACTAGACTATAGACTAGACTATAGACCAGACTATAGACTAGACTATAGACTAGACTATAGACTAGACTATAGACTAGACTATAGACTAGACTATAGACTATAGACTAGACTATAGACTAGA